GTTGGCCCAGGATCGGACATTGTTTCGTTCTGCTGTGTATGGGGTCGCTATGAGTCAGTTCCAACTCGATGGCACCTGACAACAACTACAACCTGCTCTTTTTTAAAACAGTAATTATTCAGAATGATTGAATTGGAAGAGACAGGATTTGAAGGGGTTTTGAGCTTTTTGATCGTGAATGTGCGTTCAGATGTACCTGCTTTAATTGCAGTATTGATTCTGGATTATTTGGTTGGTTGGGGCTTTTTATATGATGTTTTTGGAAAGAGGGACGGCATGGGTTTCATCACATTTGTAACCAAACGTGCCTGCAACTATGTTGTTTCAGCACTGTGTAGTTTGGTCATTTTAATGTAAAAGAACCGGAACATTCTGTCATTTTGCTACATTGATTGGTCATTGCCAGTTAAATCTTTAAAGCACATCCAAAGTCTCCAATAGTAAACTGTGAGATTTTTTTCCCCATGCTTTGTATTAAGGAACTCAAGAGAAAACTATGACATTGAATTCCAGTTCTCAAAACTTTAAATCTGAGGTTGCAAAATGGCAACCCATGAGCCGGTATAGTTAGTTTAGTGCTAAGACTGAGATGCCATTCATTGGAAATTAAAATACATGTATAGATGTTGGTAAAATATAAAAGATGCACAAGTAACTTGTAACAGTAAAGTAGGAGAAAGGTTTTTCCCTTGTGGTACCGTTTTGAAGCATCTAATGTAGCAGCATTATGTGCATGATTTTGGAAAGCAAATAAAATCATTTGTTAAAGGAAAAGGTGGGATGAGGCTATTATGTAAACTTTAACATCAGTAGCTTCTAGAATCTAGGTGAAGTGGATAAGTCACTAAAATAAATAGTAAGTTATCTGAATGGATATTATAAAAGGGATTTATGCAAATTGACCTTATTATGAAAGGCTAAGAAAGTGATAATCACACACTAAAGAAAGAAACAGTGAGAGAGTAATGCCCAGCAAAGGGCATTGAGAGGAAACAACACATGACTGGCTGAAAAACACAAAGCCAGCAGACCAGGATCAGTGTGCCAGCCTAGTCTATCAAAACTTACATAAAGTTGGTAGAACAAACAAGATGGCGGAT